GTCGTACTTGGGTCTTGTAGGAAACGAAAGGTCGGTGACCTAAAGTACGCTTCCTCAAACGCTGAGCTACGGCAGCCCCGCTGCATACCAGAGACAGTTGTCGCCCTCAAATTAACAGGGAGAAATATTCGCTCATAACATACTCGCAATGGGAGTGCGTGGTGAAGCTGCGAACTTTAATCGGAGATCACGCTGTCTCCGACATGCTCCAATTGGATTAAGAAGCGATAACTAAACGCTTGGTAAATTTTGCTGCGTCTGAGGAAGGTTTATTGAGAATTTTATTCCAGAACATACCGACGCCAGTTCCGTCACCTTCACCACAAAAGGTGATCGTCACACACGGAACGATCCACGAAATCAAGATGAGAAGCTATCACGGAAATGAAGATGAATATCTTGGATTTTGGCAGCGAGAAATGGACATCGCTATTGCGATAGCTGTAGACGCCGTGTTGCATTTGGAAGGCCATGCGAAGGATTGGGCGATGATATGGTTAAAAATCACTGGAGTAACGACGTTTCGAGCTTAAAAAAATTATAAAAAGTCAGTCACGTACATTTAAAAAAAGAAAATGGAAGTTAAGATAAAGAATGGAATTAGACAAATCTTGCCCACGGATAGATGAACGTCATCAGGCCAAAACATCTGACAATAATTATCTAACGACATAATGGACACTGCAAACTTGTATGAAAATCCCCTCTTGCTACTTTCAAATGAACTTGCACAGAACCGTTGGCACTTTGAAAACGTTTCCATCATCATCGGAGCACGATGTTTGTAGTTCAATAAACTTGCGGCTGCAGTCAACAAGTCCTTCATAGCGTGATTCCACAAATGCACGCAGAGGCTTCGCCATCTGATCAGCATAAAGATCTTTGAGCGCGATACCATAGGCGTTGCGATCAAACAGCATTAATCCGCTGACAGTGCGATAACGCACATCCTTCTCAGCAGCGCTGGTGTTGCCCATTTCTGCGACACGGTGAAATAACAAATCGCAATTGAGTTCAGTTTTTTGCTTAAACTGAGTCAGGAAATCTTCGAGAGTAGAATCCGATGACAATTCAATAAGCGTGGAGTCCCATTTTGTAAATCCAGGGGGCTTGCATTTAACTTCCGACATTTCCACCACGTCGTACTCGTCTTTTGCACGAGCAGGAGCAGCTGGTTCCTGCATCAGATACATGTTCAGACCTAAGGAATTTGAAGAGTCTTTAAATGCCTCCAGATCCTTATTTTGAATCAACTTCAGCAACTCCAACATGGCCAGACCCGTCACAGATGCCGTGGTTGTAGCGATGGCCGGAATAATTTTGCCAGCAATCATCTTGCATTTGTGGCGCGACGCGTCGCGAATGCGGTAGTTAAAGGCTCGCAAATTTGACGCCGCGTATATAAAGTCGATGTGAAAGTTCATGTCTTGATCTTTCTCAAAGTCTGCCGGCTCGAACGACAGACCCGAAATATCGAATGTCTCAAGCTCGTGCAGCAAATTCACGAGCTCATTCTTGTCAGTTTCATTCGAGTTTTTAATCTTCTCTTGCTCAAGACGCTTAATTTCATCCGAGTCAGCGGCAATTTTCTCATTTGACGGTTTCCATGCCGGAGAAGTATATTTTTCACCAAGCTTATCATATGTTAACGGGTCACGCCACTCTGAATCAGCAGTGACCAAATGGCACCCAGGTGGCGGCTGTAACCCGTAACATACAGCCAAAATGTTAGCAGTAGCGCGAACGTAGTTGAGGTGCAAAAGGTTCTCTGGTTCGAACTTGTCAACCGCTTGAGGAAATCGCTTCGCTCCTGACCAGAACTTTTCTCCAGAATTCGCTAAGTGGTCTTTTGGGAAGTTATGGATTAGCTGAAGAATTCGATCACGAAAGCTCGACGTCATAAGCTCAAACGCCAGCGTCACGCATTTTTCAAAAGTTATGCCCTTCGCTATCTGCAGAGTGTAACGTAGACCGCGAAGACGCTCAAGCTCCTGGACTATTGCCGCTGAAACAAGCTTTGCATTCGGGTTGTCAAGTGTGGACTTTCTCACCTGTTCCAAGTACGCTGCACGATCCTCTATAAATTTCTTTGCCTCTGCAAAAGGCATAACAAACATATCTTCAAATTGTGCACGCGACCATTCAATGCAGTGCTCAATCAATGAAGGAAAATTTCGTAATGTGCACATAGGAATTCCATCACCTTCAGCATCCTTCGGACCATCCGCATAACTCTGAGTTTTATGCGGGATCACAACCTGCACATTGCATTTAGTGCCGAGCGTGCCACTTTCAAGCAAAGGCAGTTTGTGAAAAACGCACTTGCTGTCCACGTACAGACGGGCCTTGACATTATCAAGAGCATTCGTGACCACATCCAACTCAGTCCAAAAACCGTCATCAAAGAAATTTTCCGTGTGAGGAGCCACAAGTTTCTCTAAAGTCTTTACTTTTAAGTCTGCATTCATCTGATGCACTGCAGCTGTAGCAGCCACAGACTTGGGGTGACCCACATTGTGCTCACGAAACAAAAACTGACGGTTCAAGTTGCTTACTTCGATGCGATCATTATCAGTGACCGTTACAAGACCATTGTCACCACAAGCAACACCAATCATGGCAAAGTTCTTCAGATACTCGCATCCAAGAGCACCGCAGCCAACAAGAAAAGTGCGAACATTACCTAGCTGCTTCTGGAATGATAGTCCAAAGGCTGTTATCATATGATCATATCGTGACCCGATGGGGATTGCATTTGTCGGCTGCTTGTCAGGCAGAACCTCAAATGCGTCTAAATGCAGCCATTGCGTCAGTGGAGTAAATTTACCCGTGAACTTTACCGCTTCTTGCGCTACGACACCACCATAAAATGCAGCAAGTGGATGTAGCTCCACGGCAGAGTAGAGAGCAGCCAAGCGTGCAATCTCCACATCCAATTCCTCCAATTTCATCACATCCTGTTTGTGACCTTCACGCGTATAAGGAGAAATATGCTGAATTCCATGCCTAGCAATAGCCACAACTTCGTCCGCATCTTCGTTGTTGTGTGGCCTCGGTAAATGACTATGACGCTCTTCAAACTCCATCAAGCTCCACATGATGACGTGAAGCTGTTCAGCACGGCCAAACTTGGCGCCATCTGTAAACATTAGTCCGAATTCCCCTTCTGGTATAGGCGAGATTAACGACTCTTCGAACGACTTAAACTTAATCGCGAATGGTTTCTTGTGCTGAGTGAATACACCTCCACCCTCATATGGAGTGAATTCCGAAGTGTCGCCAATTTTGAGGCGATACGCGTCAAAAATATCGGCCTGCTTGCCATCGCGATATACCTTTTTGCTCGCAAATTTGACCCGACGTGGACCCATAGTGTTAATAGACTGATTCGGATCACTTTTCAGTTTCATGCCCTGCACATCACTAATCTCGATCCATCCGTCGTGGTCCGAATCTGGCATCTCATGCATCTTGCCGTCCTCGTCAGGGCCCAAGATGCTAAGTATACCATCCTCATCATTTGTAATATCCGTAATGATGCGAGTAATTGGAGCTTCACCAGTAGCATCAAAACTTTTAAATTCGTCTCCAAAATCTGTAAACGCATAGCCGAAAGCGCCACGAATGTCGCACATGATAAAACCAATTTGCGGTGACTGCTGACGGCAAAAATGATTCCATCGCACAAGATCCTTCCGACTTGTATGCGTGAAAATGACAACATTGTGCTTGGCTACGACTTCTTCACTAAGTGAGCCTTGATAGACACTTACCGACACCATCTTATTAAGCTCCGCAAGCTTGTGCGAGACTGCGGGGGCACGTGGGTGACCTACATCTTGTTCCGTCAAAAAAAAGTTGGTCCCTAAGTCTTTGATCTCCGCAATGTCGTCATCGTGTAGCGTGATGGCACCAGGGCCAGCAAGGATCAAATTTTTGGCGCACTCAATACCGACGCCTTGAAGACCAACAATAAGTACTTTAAGTTTGACGAGCTGGTCAAAATAAATCGTTAGACTATAGAAACATCACTTTCAATTTTACAATTCATCATTCGTATACCTTCGCCATAGTATCTAGCCCGAAAGCGCCGATTTGACGGCTGTACTTGTCCATGAAACGTGCATCCTTTTCGAGTTGTTGCGTGGTCGACATGGCACAGACTTGTTTACGTCGCTTGCTGCTTGGGGATTTATCGTGGCCCCCGCCGCGTCCGTTGATGTTTACCGACCTCTTCAGCTTCGTCACTTTTTCCCTTCGTCGTTGAAAGGAAAAATAGAGACTTCCCTGGATACAAAAGAAATTGTGAGGCTGGTCTGACACTCTAATTTGAATTACTTTACATAAACAAACTAATTGCAGATTATATTGCATTGGATCAAAACATACTTCAATAACAAAATGGTGAGGATCATTAGAGTCCGTGCAGTGTATACATTATGGGCCCAACGGTATCTCCTGTAGGCGCAAAAACTAGCTCCATCTACATAGCCTGCAGAGATCGAGGCATGCATAAAAAGTATGGAAAGGAAGTCGTGAACGTGATGAAGTACAAAATGACAGGGTGTCCGACCAAAAAGATTGGACCAAGGAGGTAGCCGCAGAGATTAAGAGGTCAATAAGAAAGTAAAGCACGCTTGGTCTCTCAATTGCACGTTGGGCCAAGACTAAGACAACTTGGGCATTTAAAAAGAGGTTTTAGTCAACGTAGAGGTAAGTAGAGGTGACATAGAAATGTAATGAGTTGTTAAAATGATGGCAATGAGAAAATGGACACGTCTGACAAACAAGCACTACGCTGCATGTACCGTAATTTCATATAGCTCACATTATACTGTTGGGTATGAGCTATCGGACTGGAATATATCGCCAGAATATTGAAAAGATTGACGCGTTGAAGTCAAAAAGTTTATATTATTTTTCCCTATGGGCCTTGCTACAGTGCTGACCAAAAATATGTAGCCATGACTAATTCTCAAATTTTCATGTCAATTTTCAGCGAAACACCCTAAAATCGTGTAGAAACGCTACTGAGACAAAGAGCTTCCGGAGCATATCATTTTTTTTCACAGACAATTTTTCGTTGCGGAGATCAAGAAGCGACCATCACTCTGACCCTGACGTAGCAGCGTGAAGTTCATGCGCTTTTGAAGATTGCATTAGCAGGAATTATCTATT